GAATTACTCTCACGAAAGAAGTGAAAGACCTATACAGGGAAAATTATAACACACTGAAAAATGAAATTGAAAATGATCTCAGAAAATGGAAAGACATCCCTTGCTCATGAATAGGAAGAATAAATATTGTGAAAATGGCCATTCTCTCAAAACTTTTATTCAGACGCAATGCAATCCCGATAAAAATACCATCAACATACCTCATAGAACTTGAGAAATCACCCCTAAAATTCTTCTGGAATGAGAAGAAACCTAGAATAGCAACACAGTTAGAAGCAGCAAAAGCCCAGGCAGGAGGTACCACAACCCCTGACTTGAAGTTATACTACAAAGCAACTGTAGTAAAATCAACATGGTACTGGAATTGAAACAGAGCCAAAGATCAGTGGAATAGATGAGAAGATACAACCACCACTACAAATACATTCAACTCCCTTATCTTTGATAAATGGGCCAAACATGTTCACTGGAAGAATGACATTCTGTTTAATAAATGGTGGTGAAAAACTGGCTCTCCATATGCCTAAAACTAAAACTAGACCCATACCTATCACCATGTACTAAAATAAAATCTAAATGGGTCAAAGATCTAAATATTAAAACAGAAACACTAAATCTAATGGAAGAAAAATTAGGTAAAAACCTTGAAGACATAGGAGTAGGTAGAGAATTGATCACATCAAGACTCAAACCATACGGGCAATGCTTCCCAGAATCAATAATTGGGATCACCTCTTATTAAAAAGTTTCTGCACATAGAAAGAAATCTCCAGTATAGTGAAAAAAAACTCACAAACTGGGAAAATGTCTTAGTGAACTGCCCCTCAGACAGAGGACCTCTGTCTAAAACATATAAAGCATTTTTAAAAATGAGACCGCCAAAATTCAAAGACAGAATTCAAAAATGAGCATCTGAGATGAATAAATAATTTTGAGATGAAGAAATACAAGTGACAAAAAAACACGTGAAAAAATGTTCACCATCAATGGTCATTACAGAAATGCAAATTAAAACCACATTGAAATTTCATCTCACTCCTGAAAGAATGGCCAAGACCAAGAAAACCACAAACAACAAATGTTGGAGACACTGTGGGGCAAAAGGAACTCTACTGCACTGTTTGTGGGAGGGTAGACTGGCGCAACCATTGTGGAGATCAGTCTGGAGATTTCTCAGAAAGCTGGGACTGGAAGCACCTTTTGACCCAGCTATTCTACTTCTAGGCATATTCACCGAAGAACTGAAAGCATCATTCCACAGTGATATATGTGCACCCATTTTTATAGCAGCACAGTTTATAATAGCCAGATCTTGGAAACAACCTAAGTGTCCATCAACTGAGGAATGGAAAAAAAAAGTTATGGTGTTTTTATACAATGGAGTACTACTCAGCTATAAAGAATGATCACATTGACATATAAATAAATGGATGCAGATTGAGACCATACTCATAAGTGAAATAAATCAAACTCACATGTATAAATACCAAATATATTCCCTAGTATAAGAAATGATAATACATAGAAGTATGTGGTAATCATGATACCCAATCATATTGGTTTGAATCCTTATAATGTTTTCCTCATTAAGTGCAATGGTTTTACCCTGGGTTTTTCAATTTTAGTATTGGTGATAGTACGAATAGCTATTTTGAAGAAAATAACACACCATAAAAGCTAGTGATGATTTAATATCCTCTTCTTTGGAACTCCCACCAAGATGTTGTACATGTTTCCACTGGTTTTAACATGTTGTATCTTAACATATTTTACTGTATATGATAGTATAAATAAAATTTTTCACAGGTAAAGAGATAATATAGAAATCATTATTCATTTTCTGTTAGTTGGCTCTAAATACCCTGTAATTTTTTCTTTCTCTTGAATGGATTCACACTGTCTTGATGTGATTGATTCTATAGTATACGAAGTTATGCTCAAACAATTCAAGGAAAGAGGCACTATGGTGACTACTATTATGTTAGATTATCTGGTGGTGAAACAAAATGATGCTTTAATTATTCAGTTCTGACCTGTGTTGTTCTATTACAATGTCTCTTTTATCTCGATCTCCACCCTTTTTAAAAAAAATATTCTATTTTTTTAAAAGAAAACTAAATTAAAAATTAGAGGGATATATTATAGTAACTTCTATGTTTTCCCATTAACCTGATTTTAACCCCAGTATTGCTCTCCCCATCTTGTTCTGCCTGATTTTACTATATTCTATTTTGTTTGATATTTTCAAGTTTGAGGGTATAGGCAACCACTTTGTAGGCAATAAGATTTACTATGATGCCCATTATGGTTTGACTATTATCCTCTTTTGAAATCCTGTAAGGTCTCCAGTGTAGATTTTATTTGTCTTGTTCTATACTGTTTTGATCAATTCTATTATACCTGATGATACAGCAACTCTTTTTAAAAATAGCAAGAGGCACAGTGGTAACCATTTTTGATCACCTGATATTCTATTTTTGCATCAATTATTATGCCCATCCTTATGTTCTAACCAACTCTCTTTTGTTAACTCACTTGAGGTTTTATTCTCTTCAAAAAAAGTAATAAGAAATATGGGAGTAAAAAAACCCCAAAAGTTTAATGGTTATTGTGAAGAAGAGAGGAAAGGAAGGTCGTCTAAGAGATATAAGTGCCTGTTTGAGTGTGTAGGGAGGAAAACCATATTACTGAGCTTTGTTGGATCATTGAACGGAACTCTCTGCAATCACACTGTAGGAATGTTCACTTTAGATGCTTTAATTTTATAATTTGAGCAACTGTTTCTAAGAAGACAATATGTAACCTATTAACTAGTGATTTCTTACTGTATTTTTTCTTGAAATTCTGTATGATTTGTACCCTTTACTGCTTTGTTTTTTATGGTTTTTTTTTCTCTTTAAAAAATTAAACTGGAATTTATCTTTTATTTATTTTTTGGTACTGGGGATCAAACTGATTACTTTACACTTGCCAGGCAGGAACTTAAGCCACTGAGCTAATACCCCAGCCACCCAATATATACGTTTCACATCTTATCATCTTCAGAGAAGTGGCCTCTACTCTTGGACTTGATGCCAGCAAGCATACCAAATGTGAATACAATAAGTCAAGGCTAAATAACATTCAAACAAACCAGCTTCCAATAAGATCAGTCATAGTAAGACGATGTAAGTAATACAGGTTTTCAGTTTTAGTTAGTAGGAAATTAAGAACAGTTACCATCATGGTATTACCTGCTATTTTTGGGGTACCTCTCTGTGCCCTCAAATCTATTATGAGTAGACAGACCAGAACAAAATAAAATAAACAGAGCAACAGAACTACTATAGCTTTTAAATCCTGATACACTTTTAACAATGTCCTCTGCCTTCTTTTTTTAGGCAATTCCTCACCTCTCTCCTTCTCAGGATACTATTATTTACTGTTCAGAGTATATTAGTTTAGTCTCTTATGTTCAGTTTCAGCATACATAAAAATAAAGACATCTACTATTAAGAGAATGAGACACATTATGGTAATCATCAACTTCCCCAAAGTCAGTCTTCAAGATAAAAAAAGCCTGCATCATCCGGTAATTATTTGATTCATTCTATAATAGTATATATTCAATATATACTATATTAGTTCTACAATAGTATATATATATATATATATATATATATATATTCAATATATATATTATATATAATAGTATATATATAATATATATACTATATATATATATATATATATATATATATATATATATATATTAGTTCTATAATAGTATATATTCAATGCTTGTGAAGATGGGAACAACTATTTGGAAAAAAACTAGAGACAGTAAGATAGACAATGAACATCTCAGTGGACTTGCTTTGAAACCTGTGTTTCCTTAAATTGTTTCCTTATGAACTGTTCTGTTTTGTTTTGTCATGTTTAATCTTACGATCTTTAAGATAAAAGACGTTTGTAGAACATATAAGCATATTAATAAGTTTTTGTTGGATCACTGAGGTAAACTGTTCACAGTGTCATTATTTGAATATCACTTTCTATGCTTAATATTGTTACTTGAACAATTACTTCTAAGATGACAATATGTAACTAATCAACTAGTGATTTCTTACTGTTTATTTTTCAGAAATTCTGTATTATTTCTACACATTTTGGATTTTTTAAAAATAAAAATAATTCACCAAAAATATAAAAATTAAGGTTTAAAGACAAAACATTAATTATATAGACACTATCCATACTTGAAAGTGAAAAGCCCATTTCAGTTTACCATGTTTAATTACAAGATGCCATGTTGAAGCACAAAGACACTTTAAAAATCTAAAGAGGTATAAGTGATTAACTGAAAACCATACAAAATATGTACTTGAGTAGAGCTCCACTTCAGATTTGTCATTTCTGGAAAATTTGTGAAGAAATATTGATATAAAACTTCTGTATTGATTATTTCTTCAGGTCTACTTGGAATTTTTAAAGTAAACTTAGATTTAAACTGTCTGAAGAGTGCTGCTTTTTCTATGTATTTAACAACAAACATGGATTGCCATATTTCTCACATTGTTAATGCACATAGGATAAAGTGAACTCTTTCAGATATGTAAAAATGATCACGTGTGTTGAGAGTATTTTCATAACACATAGGATTTATCTCTTGTGTGAGCTTCTTCACATATTTCACTTACAATCTGGCTGCACAAAGTGTCTCCACTTGCTTACATAGCCAGTGGTTATTCCCAGTGTGAATTCTTTCATGTGTTTTGCAATGACTGTATGTGGTAAAAGCTTTGCCACATTGTTATATACATAGGTTTTCTCACCAGAGTGGAGTCATTGATGTATTTTACAAAATCCATGTGTGGTGAAAGCTTTCCCACATTCTTCACATAAACAGGGTTTCTCAACATTGTAAATCTTTTCATGAATTGGACAATAAGCATTTCTGCTGAAACCTTTCCCACATTCCTTACATATATAAGTTTTCTGCCCAGTGTGAAATTTTTCATGCATTATGCAATATGTACTTGTGCTCAAAAAATTCTCATGATGCTTATATACACTGGTTCTACCTTGAGTGTGAACTTTCATGTTGCTTACAATGTCCATGTTGGGTAAAAGCTTTCCCACATTGCTTACATACATAGGGTTTCTCTCCAGTGTGAATTCTTTCATGTATTTTACAGTTTGCCTGTCTGTTAAAAGCTTTCCCACATTCCTTACATACATAGGGTTTCTCTCCAGTGTGAATTCTTTCATGTTTCTTAAAATATCCCAGTGTGTTAAAAGCTGTCCCACATTGCTTACATACATAGGGTTTCTCTCCAGTGTGAATTCTTTCATGTGTTTTACAATTTGCCCATGTGTTAAAAGCTTTCCCACATTCCTTACATACATATGGTTTCACTCCAGTGTGAATTCTTTCATGAACCTTACATTGTGCACGTGTGTTAAAAGCTTTCCCACATTGCTCACATGAATATGGTTTCTCTCCAGTGTGAATTCTTTCATGTATTCTACAATTTGCCCATGTGTTAAAAGCTTTCCCACATTCCTTACATACATATGGTTTCACTCCAGTGTGAATTCTTTTATGAACCTTACATTGTGCACGTGTGTTAAAAGCTTTCCCACATTGCTCACATAGATATGGTTTCTCTCCAGTGTGAATTCTTTCATGTATTTTACAGTTTGCCTGTCTGTTAAAAGCTTTCCCACACTGCTTACATACATATGGTTTCACTCCAGTGTGAATTCTTTCATGTTGCTTAAAATCTCCCCATGTGTTAAAAGCTGTCCCACATTGCTTACATACATAGTGTTTCTCTCCAGTGTGAATTCTTTCATGTATTTTACAATTTGCCCATGTGTTAAAAGCTTTTCCACATTCCTTACATACATAGGGTTTCTCTCCAGTGTGAATACTTTCATGTTTCTTAAAATCTCCCCTTGTGTTAAAAGCTGTCCCACATTGCTCACATGAATATGGTTTCTCTCCAGTGTGAATTCTTTCATGTATTTTACAATTTGCCCATGTGTAAAAAGCTTTCCCACATTCCTTACATACATATGGTTTCTCTCCAGTGTGAATTCTTTTATGAACCTTACATTGTGCACGTGTGTTAAAAGCTTTACCACATTGCTCACATAGATATGGTTTCTCTCCAGTGTGAATTCTTTCATGTATTTTACAGTTTGCCTGTCTGTTAAAAGCTTTCCCACACTGCTTACATACATATGGTTTCACTCCAGTGTGAATTCTTTCATGTTGCTTAAAATCTCCCCATGTGTTAAAAGCTGTCCCACATTGCTTACATACATAGGGTTTCTCTCCAGTGTGAATTCTTTCATGTATTTTACAATTTGCCCATGTGTTAAAAGCTTTTCCACATTCCTTACATACATAGGGTTTCTCTCCAGTGTGAATACTTTCATGTTTCTTAAAATCTCCCCTTGTGTTAAAAGCTGTCCCACATTGCTCACATGAATATGGTTTCTCTCCAGTGTGAATTCTTTCATGTATTTTACAATTTGCCCATGTGTAAAAAGCTTTCCCACATTCCTTACATACATATGGTTTCTCTCCAGTGTGAATTCTTTTATGAACCTTACATTGTGCACGTGTGTTAAAAGCTTTACCACATTGCTCACATAGATATGGTTTCTCTCCAGTGTGAATTCTTTCATGTATTTTACAGTTTGCCTGTCTGTTAAAAGCTTTCCCACACTGCTTACATACATATGGTTTCACTCCAGTGTGAATTCTTTCATGTTGCTTACGATGTCGAGATTTAGTGAACCCTTTTCCACATTGCTGACATACGTAGGATTTCTCCCCACTGCCATAATTTTCATGGAGCTGAACATTGTGGTGTGTTTCTGCTTCTTTCACATTCACATTACCTTCTGCAGTACAAAGGAATACTTCTTTACACTGATTCCAAGATGTACGTTCACAGGATTTCCCTATCTTGTCGTTTCTATAAAAAAAAAACATATCAGATTGATAACCATATTACTAAGTTTTTACTGGAGATTTGAACAAAATTGTTTGTAGTCTCACTGTTTGAATCCCCACATCATATGTTTCACTTTTGTATTTCATTAACTATCTATATGAGCAGCATATGTAATCATTGACTTTAGATATTTATTGTTTATTTTCACTTTGAAAGTGGTATCATTTCTACTTATTTTGGTTTTTTTAGTCTTTCCTTACATTAAAAAAAGAAACATTCACAGTGAAATGGGTCTCAGTTTAATGACTGCATTAATGTCAAGTTCTGTTTTTAATGCCTGCTAAGAAACTCTGTACATGAAGTAACAGAATGGCCTTTTAAGACATGTTGAAAACAACTATTCCCAAAAGACTGGTATACACTATGTGTATCACACACAGATCATTATGATATGTTTCACCATCACAATCTCCCTTTTGTCCTTAACCTGTAGTTCCCTTTTCCATATGGTCAGTCTGACTATTCTCTATTAACTCTTTCATTTCATTCCACAATTTATATTTTGGTTTCTCATGTAAGAGAAACCCTGTGAACTTTTAGGATTTATAGGTGAGCTATTTCACCGAATTGATGGGAGAAAGAACCACCTATTTCTTATGGCAAATGACATTATATTCTTAATTTTTTGACATTATATAACACATTTTTTTTCATTTCCATGCTGGGAATGAACAACAGCTATTAGCATAAAATGTATAGCTTTTAAAATATGTTTTAAGAGATTTTCACTGATCATTAAGCTGTGACGTTTGAACTTGAATTTGCAGTTCTGCAAAATCTGACTCCTAGTGTGCTGGATTTACAAGAATTCACAATCACAAAGAGTCTATTAATATTTTCCTTCTCCACAAATCCAGTGATAGATAGCTAAGCTTCATCAAGGCCTGATCTATTATAACTTGATCTGCTTTGTATATCAGTAAGCATGTATCAGTATTTTATGTGCATTTTGAATTTTTAAAAATATATCCAGGACAAGTATGAGGGGATCAATTTTTAGAGACAACTGCACAATGATATTCAGAATGAGTGCATTTAACATTCCACCAGCCTTCTAAGAATTTTAGTCAGAATGGCTGATTCTTTAGAGCATGGCTTGGAAACACAAGAAATCCATTTTATTTAAAATTCTTTTGCAATCTTAGCAATTTTTAGATGATGAATGTGTTGTATTCACATGTATATATGGGTAGAAAAACTGAAGAGAGTATGTCATAACTCAAAGTGTATGCCTTTCATACACATCTATATGCAATGTCATACAAGACATTTTCTTGTATGACATTTTCTTGATTTAATCCACTCATTATACCTACCTTAGCTTATACGGCTTTGGAGAATATTACTGACAATAAATTGAATGGTACCTCATTTCTTTGGCGGTATTTTTCTGCTGATTCACTAATTACTCAGGAACATTCCTTCTCCTTATCAGTGCGAATTACCTTAAGTATCTCCAGTAAATTTTGCATTCTTTTTCAGCTTCCTGGATATCTCTAAGTCCTCCTGAATTGTAGACAAAGAAATACCAGCATTCATTAGAATAATACATACAAATCAATAGATTTTGTTTAGAGTTATGATATAATGTGTCCAGGTCTGAGCTATTTTTAAAAATATTTTCACATTGATTTTAATTAAACAGCGACATACAACATTCTGACAGCATGAGTGACAAAAGTATTTTGTCATTACCTATTGCAGTCATGTTCCTAAAGGTTTCGCCCATCACATCTCTGTAGAGGTTCTTTTGGGATGGACTCAGCAAAGTCCACTCCTCATTGCTGAAGTTCACGACCACATCCTCAAAGTTCACCACCTCCTAAAGGATCATACATATATTTCTCACATGAAGGTTGAGACACCAGGTTTGGGATATCTTAAATTCTCTCCTACAAATCTGAATCAATAGCAAAGTGTGGTGGTATATATCTATAATGCCAGCACTCAAAAGGCTGAGGCAGGATGGTTTCAGTGAGTTCAGGGCAATTTAGGATCCATAGGGTGTTCAAATCTAGCTGATATACATATAGAAAGCTTGTCTCAATAAAACAAAACCAAACTAAACAAATACAACCAAACTAAACAGCTGAATGAAGACTGATTTCTTCAAATTTAAATTCAAGTCTTGGTCTTTAATTTTTTGTATATATACACATTTTTGAAGACAGCAAATTTGATGATAGATTGCAACTCACTGCTAATGTCGCAGTGAAATACGAGCACTGATTTTTGTGCTGAGTCACTGCAATATTCCCTGTGTACTGTCTTTAATGCAGAGCTCACAGTGAGAAGCCTGCAGGACCACCATCCACAAAGCACAGAGGCAGCTAAATATCCCCTCAATCAACTGGGAAGCCAAGCAAGCACCTCCCTTCCCTGGTAAGTGATGGCGGTGTGGTGGACTGTTGCCCATCCAGGGGGCAAACCAGCAGCAGCTCCTGAGATCCATGCCATGCTGGAATTTAGGATACTTGGAAGGCAAGCACGCACCACTTCTCCCTGGTAAGTGGTGGAGGTCTGGCAGAATGCTGCCCTTCCAGGGGGAGAACAAGCAGCAGCTCCTGAGATCCATGCCATGTGGGAACCTAGGATGCTGTGAAACAAAACAACTGGCCTGTATCCCTACTAAGCAATAGTGAACCTACTGATGCACGGCCTAGAATCAAACATCCCACTTCCCTACACCTCTTCTCCTGTCAACCCCCATTAGCAAATGGGAACCAGAAATCTGAGTGTCTCCTGGGAAGCAGACCATAACAAATAAGGGGGGCTTCCTTCTACTATCTCTTTGAAGGTGAATATTTTTATTTCTGTTTTGCTCTTTTCTGATTAATGGTATTGCTCTATTCAATATTCTGTTTTGATAAGTACTATAATGTTTGGTATTTCATCTCATTTTGATATACGTGTTTGAAAGAACAACTATTGGGGCTGGGGATTTAGCTCAGCGGCATAAGTACCTGCCTTGCAAGTAGACAGTCATAGGTTCAATCCCCGGTACCAATAAAAGGGAAAAAGACAAAAAAAAAAAAAAAAAAGAATGAAAGAAAGAACAACTATTATAAAGATAATAAAATATACTGTGATACCTATTACTGTTATTGCAGTAACCAGTTGTGAAGTTGTGTACCAATTTCACTGTATGATCTTGGTTGGCCTTATTCGGCCTTGTTCTGTTGTATTTTACCACTTTCAAAATTTAAAAAAAGAAAAAAAATACTCATCAATCACTTTGATAGGCTGCAGTTAATGTCTCTTCAAATCTCTTTTAGGCCAGTGAGTACTTTGTTCTTAATATACTTCAGCAGCATTTTGAAACATGAATTTGGTTTCATAGAACAAAACATAAATAACACCCAATATGTACACAAATAATAACTCAAATGTTAGTGGAAAATGGTGTTTTAAAAAAATAAGTATATAAAATGGAACCAGGCCCAAGCTGTAATTTATAGCTCACTGTCACCAAGCGTTCACTTTCAATTCAGATATAAGGAATATATCTTGTGAGGCTGGTGAAGGATTTCTTCCTTGAAATTGGGGTTATACTAAGTTAAGAGCTGTCTGAAATAGAGAAACCCTGACTGTGACACCCCACAGACAAAGTGAATCTTGAAAAGAGACTGCATAAGACACCTTTGGTTTGTTTTTAAAAATTATAGCCATATAATATGGAAAAATTCCAACAATATTCAACACTTTCTGAGAAACAATGTGGATATCTTCCACACAACAAAGAAAACACTTTCATAATTGGGTATTTAGCTCAGTGGCATGAACACCTGCCTGGAAAGCATAGGTCATGAGTTTGATCCTTGGTACCAAAAAACCCCACAATTTACCTTCATGACACTATGGCATAATTAGAGATAATCAAAAGTAGATCTCAAGTATGAAACAGAAAATTCATGGGTTGACAAGGATGTGAAATACTGATCGTTGCCAGATCTGGTGTTGATCACCTCAAGTAAGCAATCAAAACCCAACTTAAACTTCACACTTACTCTAAGAACTACCTGAATTTCAGTGAAGACCCTCTCTGTTGTATGTCCTGCTATTGGCTTCCTGCAGTCTGTCAGTCACTTGCACATCCTTTCCACACTCCTCTGATCCATCCTCAGCATGAAACCCTTCATGCCTAACTATTGATATCACTGCAAAATTTCTGTTTAGAGCTTCTGCTCTACACCATTTAGTAAATTCCATTGCAGAGCATTTCCATATTTAAACGGTCTATGAAAATCCAAACCACTAAATCAGCCCTTAATTCAGAGATGACACACCTATTCCTTTTCATTCAGAAGGATATTACGTGTATATGTCCATGCAAATGCCTAAATTTCAAAATTTTTCGATGAGAATTTAACAGGTAGCCCTTTCTGGAACTTGTCCTTCACAAATTTTTACCCCATCCTTGATAACACTTTCATATTTGCTTCATTTTTCTCAGATTTCAAAACCCTATGGCTGTTCTCACAAACATAGTCTGTGAGCAGCGGTGCCACATAAATAATTAAGTATGTTCAGAAATTATTTTGCACTGATCTGTATAATACACAGGAGTTCTTGAGTTGTTTGCAAAGCCTTTTTCCACTGAGACCCACTACTACACATCTCTGAATTCTCAGACCTTTGCCACTACCTGTCATGAGGATGGAAATATGAGAACATACTATAAATTGAGGAGATCACTATAAATACCAAAAAGCCCAAGTTTAAGTTGAGCCATTGTGGCTATGAGGCCCTGCATTACATACATTAATAAACCCTGGACATTCCAGATCTGTTACTCTGAGGAAAGAGAGCATAGACCTAGATCATTAATGCTCTACAAGCTACAAAAGC